GTAGCAACGAACCGTTCGTATTTCTGAGCTTCTCTCATGTCTATTACAAGTGTACCATAAATGGAAATCAAATCGAGAACGAATTGTCTGTCATTGTTATCTGTTGTCATTGGTATTCCGCATAGCATACGGAACCTTATTTCCATGTGCTTCGATGTGACAAGAGTGAGATGAGATTCTTTGATTTTATGCGGCACTTTCATAACGCTGAATAGCGCTCAAATTCATGAAATAGCATCGCATCATCGCAATTCTAGCTACATATATAAACCAAGTTTTGTACCACTGTTCATTTGGATTTCGTTTTCTTTATCGCTCCGCTGTTAACTATTCTTTACGTTGAGTATAGCCTGGTATTTTCACAATAAGCATGGATCAGATCCTTGTAAAAGTTCCTTGATCTCAAAGGTATAGCTCGTGGCACGGATGGTTTTCGAGACCTCTTCCTAGGATGAACTGCTGACCCCCGAAGGAGGATAGTACAGGGATGCTATCGGGTTGAAAAACGGTCTAGATGAGACATAGTAAGGGCTCCAAAACCGTTAGCTGAAGCAGTTTACCCGGAGGGATGAGTTCTCATGTCGTTGTTGGGGGCTTAGAAGTTCAATCATTCGCGTCGGGACGCGCACGTTGCACGCAGGCGATTTACTGAAGCCAACCTCAATGCTGCACTCATTGGGATAGCTCGTCCAATACCCTTACCGTTCAATTCGATCCAACACTTCTCATTCTTTCTGTGCTTGAGAGATTTCTCTCAGAAAAAAATGAATTCCAGAATGAAACTTCTCATTTCATTCTTCTTCTTCGCCGTCACAGCAGCTCAACTTCATTATTACTGGAGTAAATACCTTCATCCGGATTTTCTGATGGATGTAAGCCGAGAGTCTCGACTCGACTACCTTAAAGTATTTTTAAACAAAACGTTGACAATAGCTGAACAGAAGGAGAAACTCCGAGCATGGGCAAAGAAGAATAACGTTACGGTAGGATTCCAATGCCAATGAAATATCCATTCCACACGATGCTCCCTATGTTTTAGAGGCAAGTCGAAAATCTCTTCTTTCAAGTTGGCAGTAAAATGATAGAGGCGAACGAGAATTTGGCCAAAATGATTGATGCTGTGTCGAAAGCTTTCAAAATTCTCACTAAAAACATGAAGAATGAGAACCAGTCGATGCCTCAGATGAAGAAGAACATAGAAAAGCTGAAAAAGGAGCAGCCTACGGTGAGAGTAACCCTGCTTGATTGGTCCGAGTATGAATTTGGCAGATTTTTTTTTCTGGATTTAAAATTATTGTATTTTTTTGCAGGTTTACAATGTGCTGAGTTTTGCTATGAAACAAGTAATGCTTGAAATGTCCAAGGGTAGAGCAAAGATCACAGATGGGCCAAATGGACTCCAAATAGAACTTGATAAACGCGATAGAAGACTGCTGTGAAGACTTCCTTGCTCAGTCCGAGCCTAGGTGAGGTTTCGGAGCTACAGTTCTTAGGGTTTATCGCATGTTTAGGGAAGCCTCAGTTTCGCTCTGGAAGCTATCATCTTATAGGGCTCCGGCGAAGAGGCGGTTACAACGCAAGGTTTACCATGCTCATGTCATTTATTGTAGCACATTTTGTCATTGTAAACCGTCTCACAATGCAAGTAAAAATTTTGAAACCCATCCGTTCGATGTTGAACTGTGACGAATTCGTAAATCGAAAAACTTGAATTGTAGCTCACAACAGGCTCACCGATACTAATGAAGATAAAAGGGTAAGATTTGGGCGTCCATCAATCCCGTCTGAGAGATGCGCGACGCATTCGACTTCCGTTCAGAACCGCAGTGACTCTCAAAAGCGTATGTGGCCCTTACAATGACTTGCGCTAGCCAGCCAATGTGCAAGTCAGTGCTTTTATCCTCACAGAGGAGTCTGATACCACATAATCGACTCTGGAGGGACTTCGTTGGCCGGAGCGGATATCGATCCGGGATTTGAACCCGTGACCGTGCGCCTGGGATAGCGCGCCTTTTGCCCCTACCCCACCTATCCTTAGACGCCCCTACAATGACAGAAGGTCAGGCAGATGCTCACTGGAGATTGTTTGTGTAACAGCTGATTCCTAGAATTCATTCATGGTAGTGTTTGCTTCTAGTTTTGGAAAAAGCAGTACATACTTTCCGTCGGTGCTACAAACGGTAGCAGTCTGCGATTGTGTATCAATATGTGGTACATAGAAGGGGCTACCGGGAGGCGGACACACATATAGGGGCTCTCCACCCAGAGAGGGGGGTTAATAGTGCAAACGTATTAAAGCTGGAAAGAGATGTTGGGCTGAAATAAAAGGCTGCCCAACCCTGAATCGGGTGACAGTTTCGTACCTATATTTGGGCATCTGACAGCACTCCTTCGGTCACAGTTCGAGGGGTAGAGAATTCTATCCAAGCGAAGGAAGTCTGCGGATTACATCACCAAAGCGTTCTTGTTGTCTGGGCAGATACAGTTACGAGCAAATTCAGTTATTGCGAGTTCTTCGCTTACTGCCTTTGTCGTTCCACAAATCCAAGGCAATCCCTTACGAGAAGCGATAGGGACTCAGCGCCAATTATTCCTTCGGAATGAGCCACTCAAGTCGAGTTTATTTCAGATTACTAGAGGCGCTGAATTGCACGTCTAGTTTCTACATAGCGTATGTTGTTGCTCGTGGAAGAACCCTCATAGTTGCATACGCTTCTTGTATTTCTAGTAGAGAATCTAAGTGAGTGGAAAACTTAGCTAATCCGATCAGTATACGATCGTGGATACGGTGGTAGGGCAATGTTCTCGTCTACTGAGACTTCTGCAGGGAGTTGAAGACTAGGAAATGCAAAGATATCCAAAGCAATTCCTCACAAACGTTTCCAGTGGCCCATGTAAGGAACGAATGTTATCACTCTCCTATACGATTCTGAACGTGGGCGCTGTGCACTGG